TGGCGACCTACCCGAAGTCTAGCTACTCGAATAAATTAAAAACAGGACTGCTGAGAATGACTTGGTAGACCTAAACCTCAGGACCCCAACGCGCGTGCCTAGAAACCCGAGGGGCGAAGGGAGCCAAGCCGAGCTGAGTCAGGGCCCACCCGAGGGTTGAGGCCTAGTGAGGACCTGGGTAAGTGGGAAGGAGCTGAGGCTTTCGAAGTCAGTGACAGCCAAAGGCGAGAATAAGGGAAAGGGAGACGGGCATCTGCGGGGTAAGAAACAAACTCTGGGTTTGGCTTCCAGGTACTACTGGACGCCGCTTTCCCAGAGACTCCGATTAACCGGGAGCCAACCGCATCACTGCTTCCCAGACTGAGACTGCGTTGAGATACCGCCAAGGAGGCAACTCTTAAGTGCTGACAGTTTTGTTGTTGTTGTTACACTTAGAGGCAAGACTATGTGTAGAGTGGCTTGTGTATGCGCCCTAAGCAGCGAACCTTCTTTTGCCGGGTTAATGTTAACTTAGGAAATCAGATAGGGCACTAGTTCCCTTGGGCAAAGTACTGGTACTGCCCAAAGGCCCTTTTCACCCTCTTCTAAGAAGCGGGGCTGGTCACTTATACTCGTGTGCCACCATGTACTCAGTTCCTACCTTGAAGGCTTTGAAAGCCTGTTGTAAAGCCAAAATAATTTTCGGGAAATATTTTGCCTAGGGAAAGCATGCCGATTTTAAGGCTAAATCCATTCGCTGCTCTTAAACTACCTAATCCTGATAAGGGATCTGTATTTCCTGGGGGAATAGGTTACAGTTGTGAATCTGACCTTTCAAAAATATTTTGGTTGCCCAGGCCAGGTCGCTAAGTTGGTTGGAGCGTCGACCCTATGCTCCAGGGTTGCGGGTTCGATCTCTGATCAGGGCACAAGTAGGAAACAACGGATGATAGGTCGATGTTCCTTCTCTCCCTCTCCCCCCTTCCTCTCTCTAAAAAAACTTTATTTAATTAAAAGTATTTTGGGCATCACATACAGTCTTAGAGATTCACATAGTGCATCCTTAGCCATGTTGACCTAAGATATTGTGTGGTCACTGTTAGGGTGGAAGAACCATTGTTAAGTCCCAAAGTGTGATTATCCAGTAAGTATTTATGTCTTGTGACCATGTTGGTAGAGCAAAACAGTGTGGTTAGCTTATATCCAGTGGGCATCTAGGATGTGCATGCAGTTTCTCACAGGTTAGACTACATGGCCAAAACTTGGACATTTTTAGAGAATCATGTGTTTATGTAAAAATATTCCTAAGGAAAAAAGAATAATGTGGTTTTTAAGATCTAAAGGTGCTCCTATAAAGACTTGATTAATGTGACTACTTTATACCTTTAAATTTTTTTTATTTATTGATTTTAGAGAGAGAGAAAAATATCGATTTGTTCTTCCACTTATTTGTGCACTCGTTGGTTGATTCTTGTATGTACCCTGACCCGGAATGAAAGCTTCAACCTTGCCATATTGGGATGACCCTCTAACCAATTTGAAACCTGGCCAAGGCTACCTTTTAAACTTTCTTTGGATTATGGTTAGTAAAGGACATTGAAAGTAGCAAGCTCAATATATAGGTGCAAATTTTAATAACTTTTATGACTGAGTACATACCAGTACTAGCAAAGAACAGAGGAATTAAATGGGGATTTAAGTCTTAACTTATAAAAAGCCTTTAAAATTCAAATATAAAACATAAGAAAACCACAACCATCTCTGAGTTTACTATACCTGAGTTGGATATGTTTTTTATGTCTACTGACATAAAAATGCTTACTGACCACAATGTTTACTATCTTTGGACAGTGTTTCACATACTATAGATATTAAATATTTATAAAACTAAAAAGGTGGATAATTTGTCAGATTACTTGCTCTTAAGAGGTTAAGGAGATAGCCCGGGTGCTACAAATATGATAAAATTATATTATAAAATTATATTGAGGGAAAATGTCTAGAAAATTATTTCATTGCGAAACAATTCCTAGAAGTTTTAACTATGTATCTTAGTTTTACAACAGGCACTCGTTTTTTTTTAAGATTTTATTTATTTATTTTTGGTTTGTAGGCTGGCACACAATTCACTAAGACATACCACCCAGGGCTATTTTCCTAAATTTATTTATTTATTTTTAGAGACAGGGGAAGAGAGGGAGAGAAACATCAGTTGGTCGCGCCTTGCTCACCCCCAACCTGGGATGTGGCCTACAACCCAGGCATGTGCCCTGACTGGGTATTGAGCATTGACCCTTTGGTTCACAGGACAATGCTCAGCCCACTGAGCCACACCAGTCAGGGCTAATTTTTATTAAAATTTTCAGTTTGTCTATCTTCAGCTATAAGCATAGTGCTGCAGTAGATACTACATGACCTACCTGCCTTTAGAGAGTTTACCTCTAATTGACAAAATAAGTCATTACTATATAAAAAAGCCAGTTGTTGCCTATTTTTGGCATTGTGAAGGTCAAGGTGGAAGGATTTGAAATGTCAGGAAGGAGAAAGCAATCAACGGTGAAGGACATTTTGCTGTTACCTAATAAAGAACACTTGAAGTGATAGAGATGTGATAAATTATCCACAGAATGCCATTTTTCTTCTTATACAGGTCCCCAGTGTGTGAGAGCCAGCTACAATCAGGCATAAATGACATATGACTTTTCCAAGCTACCTAGGTTTAAAAGAAATGAAGAGTACTGATTTATTCCTTATTATTTATCTTAAGACTATACATAAACTCCTAGGGAGCAAAGTATGTTTTTGTATGATTTATACAACATTGATGTACAATAAAAATAAAACTGGTTGTTACCTTCTAAACACAAAGCTATTCTTGTATATGAGGTAGATATCACGTGTTTATAATTGTGTAAAATGAAAGTCACTTTCAGAAGCTCATAGGATAAGGTCTTGGACCAGATTAAACATACTTTTTTCTTTTCCTCTCCCTTTTCTGTCCTCAAATATTGATACTTGAAAATTCATAATTGTCACTATATTAACCATGTTGCTTTACATGGTAAAATTAACAACAGAGTCCCTGGCTGGTGAAGATCAGTGAATTGAGTACTGGCCTGCAAACCAAAGGGTCACTGGTTTGATTCTCAGTCCAGGACACATGCCTGGGTTACAGGCCAGGTCCCTAGTTGGGGGTGCACCAGAGGCAACCACACAGTAATGTTTCTCCCCCTCTCTTTCTCCCTCCCTTCTCCTTTCTCTAAAAATAAATTTAAAAAATGTTTAAATATTAACAGAATGCTATTTAAATTACCATGGTTGTCCAAATCTGTAAATTAAGTTTTCTTTTTCATGAGTTAAGTGGGAAATTGTTGTCTATCAAAAATAGAGGCACATTTTCCCCACTTAGATTTTTTGTTAAAGATTTTATTTATTCTTAGAGGGGAAGGAAGGGAAAATAGGAGAGAAATATCGATATGACAGAAATATACTGGTTGCTTCTTATATGCCCCCAAATGGGGACCCAGCCCACAGTCCTGGCATGTGCTCTGACTGGGAATCGAACTGATAACCCTTCGGTTCACAGGTGGGCACTCGGTCCACTGAGCCACACCAGCCAAGGCCCCACTTACATTTTTTTGAAGAGAAAATAATGTCCACAAGTTAAAATGTAAGCCCCTTGAAGGCGGGGCCTTTGTCTTACTTTCTATTGTTTCCCTGGACCTACGCGTACCTGGCACATTGGAGCTCGATAAATCCTTGTTGCACTCCACAGTCTCTTTCTCTCTCTTCGGAAGGTAGACTCAAGTCAGAAGGATCTTTTAGAGAAAGAAGGAGCTACTACCTTTTGCAACAACATGGATGGAACTGGAAAGCATTATGCTGAGTGAAATAGGCCAGGCACTGAAGGACAAATACCATATGATCTCACCTTTGACAGGAAGCTAAAGAATAAAACAAACAAGCAAACAGAATAAAAACAAAGACACTGAAATAGAGAACAAGTGGGCAGCGACCAGAGGGGAGAGGGAAGGGAACTTAAGGGGAAAAAGGGGGAGGGATTTTGAGGAACAAGTATGAAAGACACAGAGATGAGGACTGGGGGGGGGGGGGAATGGGAGAAAGGGGGGAGACCGGGCGGGGGGCGGGGGGATGGGAGAAATAGATTAAAAAAAAAATGTACTTGAAAAGTAACTAAATAAAATTTAATATTAAAAAAATAATTAAAAAATAAAATTAAAAAAAGAAGGATCTTTTTTACTAATTCTGGTTAAGAATACTATTTCATTAGCTTTCTCCTACATGAATATCATAATGGGAGGTGGAAAACACATAATTCACTTTGTTCTTTTAAGTTATGGTTCAGTATGTGTAATTGTGAGACATAAACTTCCTGAGATATTTATGACCTAGAAAAGGATGAAGGAGCAGTTACTGACAAGCAGCAGTAGACCACATATTCATTAAGTCATCAAATTACCTACTTTAAATTACCTTTATGTAAATTACCTACTTTAAATTACCTTTATTTAAAGGAGGGCTGAGAATATAGAGGGCCTCACAGCCCTCTGAAGGCTCTGAACAGATAAATTGGGGGGATTAGCACTGCGACATAGCAGGAAGACCAATCACCTTTCCTAGTCCTGCTTACTTCACATGCTTTTATTAAATCTCGAAAGTCTTTTCATTGAAAATAAATCTAATTTTTGTTCTTATAACTATATAGCCAATATACTGATTTGAGAGGAAAATTCCCTTTATTAATAGATTACCTCCAAATAGAATGTATTGTAGTTCGCGAATATAAAATGGCACATAAATACTAGAATAGTCATCTAACAAATCAGGGAATAAAATTAATTTTGAACTAATTTAGAGGCAACTAAAACTAACAGAAAATCTACGATTTAGTATTAGAGGAGGTTCTTCCTACCAACAATCCAGACTGTTTACCAAATATAAAATTAACTCGAACGTCTTATCCTTGTTGCTGCAATAATCAGATTTTTACTTGACAACAGAATGCACTATAGAAAAGCAGATTTTAATTTTTTTGTTTTCTTTTTAATTTTTTCAATTAGTTTACATTTAGTATTATTTTGTATTAGTTTCAGGTATACAGCATCGTTTGACTTTTTCACCCACTTGAAACAATATACAAGGAACAGTAGAATTAGAAACGGAAATTTTTGTTTAGCCCTGGCCAGGTAGCTCAGTTTGTTTGAGCATCATCCCAATACCCCAAGGTTGCCAGTCTGACCCCTGGTCATGGCAGCAGGAACTAGTGAATGCATTACTACATGGAACCCACATCGATGTTTCTCTCTCCCTAAAATCAATCAATATTTATTTTAATTTGTGGGGATTTTTTTGTTCATTGCTTTTTTTTAAAAAGATTTCTTATTTATTTTTAGAGAAGGGGAGGAGAGAGGGAGAGAAATATTAATGTATGGTTGCTTCTCATGTATTCCCTGCTGGGAACTGGCCTGCAACCCAGGCATGTGCCCTGACTGGGAATCGAACCATGATCCTTTGTTTCGCAGGCCCACACTCAATCCACTGAGCTACACCAACTAGGGCTAATTTGTTTTTTAAATCTTAGATTTCAAACAGCAGCTTCAAAGTTCTGCTCAAGAGTTTTTAAAAGACTCGAGCTCTGTAGGATATTATAACTTCCTATAGCTATGGTTTTTAAAAGAATTTTTTACTTTATTGATTTTGCAGAGATAGAGGGAGGGGAGAGAAACATCGATTGGTTGTTTCACTTATTTATGCATTCATCAGTTGATTCTTCTACGTGCCCTGACCAGGGATTGAACCCACAACCTCAGTGTACCAGGACAATGCTTCAACCAATGGAGTTACCAGGCCAGGGCCTATACAGCTATAGTTTCGTTGTTACGCTAGGTACTTGATGATTTTCTCACTGTTTTTTTCCCCCTTAACATGTAGATAAGGCATGCCTGCCTCCGTAGCTCATTACTCCTTTTCTGAGCTCATGCCTTCTTTAATTTCCACCATGTGCGAGGTGCCCTCCTAACTCAGGACCTTTGCTGAGGGATTCATACTCCTAGATCACTGTTCCTTACCCCTCCTCTTACCAGCACTTGGCCCCCCACACGCTAGACACACAAACAGCCATTCATCCTACCCATCAGCTGTGGCTCAAAATAAACACTGTCCCTGGGGAAAATATTCTTGACTCTGCCAGTTCAGTTCTTGATTTGCCACTTGACAACCTGTATTTCATGACAACAAGTTGTTTAATGTGTTTCTCCCACAAGATTGCAAGCTTCAAGATACCAGGAGCTTTAGTATTTAGTAAGCTAAAAAGAAAAAAAATGAATTAGTCCCAAGTTAACCATGTTAACTGCATCACATAATTCTGTCCACTCTTTGAAGCATTTTACTGTTTCCTAACTTTGATAGTATATGTGTATTTGATTTTAAACATTTGCTTTCTCATACTCAGGCTTTTTTAAAAGATTAAAATTGAGCAGTAAAGAATTGTTGACATTTCCACAATTCAGTTTTAATATAAATATTATAAAATACATACAATAAAAAACATAGAATGGTATCAGGTAGAGTAAAAAAACCTTTCTCCTACCCTCCAATCTTCCAGTGTCACAACTGCAAACACAATTCTTTTATAACACTGAAATTTAACATTCTAACAAGACACAATACTTTGTTTCTTCTCTATTAGCTTGTTTTACATACTGCCGATATATTAAGCCTCATTATTATTATAGAGGATCGAAACAGTTTAATGAAATATAGTTAACACTGGATTACCAAAAACCCCTTTTCTTCACATTTAATATTTAGTCTTCCTCATTAATAGCTCAAACACATCCACTGCCTTTTGATCACCAAAATTTTATAGTCTTATCTTGCAAGTGTAGCATATATATAATTAAACAGTTGGTAAACATGTAAAGGCAGAGCACAAATAAGCCCCACAAGGTACTGCTGTGCAGTGTGTCTACCAACAGGTTGGTCAGGCCAGTTGTTATATTTGACAGCAAGAAAAAAATCAATTGGTTTCTGTTTATAGCTGTGATTAAACAAAGACTGGGTTTCTTTCTTTCGGCTTCAGAGACTAGAGTTTCTAAATGCTTTTTATTTGTAACTGGAGACTGGATAAGTTTCCAAGAACATGGTACTACAGACCCTTGAATTAGAAATTTGGCAAAACTCAAAATTATATCACCCAGTAATAAACTACTAAGAAGGATTAGGCTAGAAGCAACTATCCAAATACAAAAGGCTAAATTGGCCATTCTTCGAGATACTTTTTCTACATTTACCTGAACTATGTAAAGAGATACAAAGAGGCCAACAGCTGTCAGTAGAATACAACATGCTACTTTTATCCAGTCTTTGATGTGTGACCTTTTTTTAAGCACATATGACCCTGTTTGCACACCAGCCATGTGTATTGCCACGTACCCCAAGGTAGACATTATTCCTTCCCGGTTGGCATTGAAGAAACCAGCCCTTGTGCCTCTGCCATCAGTGCCATACAAAATTACCCTTTTCAGTGGGGTTAAGTTGAGGGCTAGCTGGTATAATACAGTAACACTGACAGCCACAACCCAAGATTTATTTGGGGGGAAGAAAGTCAAAAGCAGTGATGTTATCAATTTCACAACTATTAAGGTAAAGAAAAAGTTCCAGTGAACTCCATACTCTGTTAAATGTTCCTGGTAGTCTATGGATTTTATCATGATTAACCGTCCCACTCCTAGGAAGACCAACGGCCAAATAGAGTACAATGACTTTGTAAAATAATAAAATTTGAACCCTTCCATACATTTTTTCCTAATCTCTGGACAAACCATTGCAGTCCCAAAAACAAAGCCTCCTACACCAAAATCCATCGCTCCTGTGCCATAGAGCTCAGCTTTGGCAAATCTTCTGGGAAAAAGAGGGAAGTCCACAGCCAAAATGGCAACAGCAGTAAATGCACTGTTAATTACACGGAAGCAGGAGATGGCTGGAATGTATTCTGATTCTAGACTAATTTTTAAGAACTTTTCAAGGATTTTCTGGACAGGCATTCTGGCATAACAAGTTCTCCGGCAGTATATTTGGTAGAATAGCCCTGCCCCAAAGATAATTACAGTGAGGTGCTCAAGGTAGATAAATGAAGACAAAATGGTCAGAGTGGTCACCAGGGGAACTATGAGGAAAAGGAAGTCAGTGAAGAACCGAGCGCTCCAGGTATGTGAAGAATGCGAGAGCTGTGAGAGAATGATCAGGAGCCCTCTGCACAGAATGCAGAGCACGGGCAAGCACAAGCCCTGAGTAACTTCTAGCACGCTGGTTCCATTGTGGTTACTGACAAAAGCTTCCTTCATCTGCTTTAGAGACATTTTTTCTTCTTCCTGTGGAAATGAGAGCAAAGAAATACATTTGTGGGAAGCAATGTTCTTACAGATTTGGCATATACCTGACAATTTTACTCTTAGATTTTAGAGTAGCACCTAGGACTTGTAGGAAGAAGCCTAACACTAACACATTAGGATAAGAATGTCACACTAATAGCATGAAAGTATTGGTTGAAAAGTTTTAGCTATTTTCAGGACATGTAAGGTAGATACACAAAGAAAGTACATTTGGGATATAAACTGAGAATGGAATCACAGCCTCATAAAAACTCCTATTACAACACAGTGTGTCATTAATATCATTCAATGAAAGTTGAATACACATAAACTAATGACCTTTAAGTGAAACCTGAAAGATGGGAAGAGGGACAGAGGCAGAGAAAGTATCCAAGCACACGTTGGAGTTGGGACCTTGGTTTCAGTTCAGAGATTCTGAAACTACTGCCTCTAGCACAACAATTTGAGTCCTGATGTGACCTCCCGAGCCCCAAACTGCTACTTACATATACAGAGAGCCAAATTGCATGTTAGGTATAGGTAGGAAGAATAGATAAGAATTGGGGGGGGAGGGTAGGGGGGTGTATAGCGCATACTAGTGTTAGTTGTTCATTTAAAAGGATATAAAACGCCTCTCTGCCACATATCAATGTCTGGAAAGTGGCACACACGAAAAACACATCTGTTGACCAAACACAAAGTACGTTGAACAAATGAATGCATGGATGACGTGAAATACTTCACGGTAACAAACTGATCGGCTGGCCTTTTAATCAAAACCCTTTTCCACCACCGCGATGGCGCCTTATACCTCCCATGCACTGGCCGGTCTCTGCGCCCCTCGGCGGATAGACCGAGGGTGGTCAGCGTCGGTCGGGCCGCCCGGCTTACACCAACCCGCCCGTCGCAGCGGGAGCAAGCAACTTCCGCCTCCCAAATGCGCTTCCGGCCAACACGAGGCGGCCTGCGCTTCCGGGCCGGCAGATTCCTTACCCAGGGTGTTGCTGGTTTCCCACGCCCCGCCGGCTCCCCGCGCCATCTGTAGCACGGGGCTGCTCAGCCCAGGTCCTCCCGGGTCGTGGCCGTGGGCAGGCTCATCAAAGGAGCCAGGAGTGGAAAAGGCGCGTCACGCGCGGTACCACTGCTCAGACCTCAGGGCGAGGCCTATCTGAAGGATGGGGTCAGAGAGCCCGGCGCGAGATTCGGCCCTGGGGGCCCCTACTGAAAGACTGCACAGCCCAGTAAATGGCACTGCCTTCCGTGCCTCTCCCACCAGAATACCCGGGGCCTCCTTTGCATTCCCATCTTACCCCAGGCTCTCAAAATTTTGTCCCGGGTGGACCCCCAAATCGGGAGCTCCGCATCCCAAGCGGACCACGTGCGCGCGCCTGGTCCGCTGGCACCGCCTTGGGGGAGGAGCCGGCCGCCCGGCCACTTAGCTTGGAGCGGCTGCGGCGGGGTGCAAGCCCGCAGTCTCGGCTTTCTTGCCCGGGTTCGCTCCCGCCCCTCCTATTCCCTCAGCTCCTCGGGCTCTTCCCGCCGCCCCACCCGGCTCGTCCGCCTTTCCAGTCAAGCCCAGGGAGGGCCTCACGCTCGGCGGCTCAGGCGGTGGGATCGGTGAGTGCCACCCCCAGCCCCGGTCCGAAGCCCTTCAATGACCCCAAAGGGGCAGCGGAGGCCGGTTTGCCTCCGGAGCGCTGGGGTAAAAGGGGGCATTTTCCCTGCCCTTTCTTTCTCTCTCTCTCTCTTTTTTTTTTTTTTTTTTTTTTTGGATCCTGCTAGCCCAGGACGAGGTATCCTGATTCCTGGCTCTTACCTTTCATGAACAAGGACCTTTCACGGTCACCCTCCACCTTTCCACCTAGCTTGCAGCCGGCGACCCGCAGTTCGGGGGAAAGTCCCCGTTGGCAGGCTGTGTCCCCGCCCCTGGTCCTCTCCTGGCCCTATCCAAGGACCAGTGAGGGGGCAGCTGGCTCCGGGAGGGGTCGGGGAAGCCGCGCCCTTGGCTGGGGTCATGTCCACCTTCCCGGGAAGGACGTACGCTCCCCGTGCCAGGTGCTTGAAGGAGCGGCATCCCAACCCTGGCTGCGGCGGGCCCGGAACCTCTGGACGGAGTCGACTAGGCTTACCTGGACCCTTACCCGGCTCTTCTCGTCTTCCCTCCCACTGTCCTCCGAGGCTGGGGAGGAGCTGGTGATCAGGTTGGCGCTTGTCTTGCCTTGACTTGGTGTTTCATCTAATCATTACCGCCTCCCTCCTGCACACCCTTTCCAGAACTCCTCTGCTGGTAACCGGGAAGCCCACTGGGAGCAAGAGCTGGGAGGACTGGAGAAAACCCGCTCTAACTTCACTTGACTCTGGCTGGGAGCTGGCGTTTCATGTTATAACCAACGTTTGCAAGTAGCTCTCACAGGTACTATTGGCCCATTTGATCATGAACACTGCCCTGTGAAGTCTGGATATTAGTGTTGATTTTTTGCACACTGCAGGGGTTTGGGGTGGGGCCACACATCTTCTGGTTCTGTGTGATGTGGAGGATGAAGACCCTGGGAGACAGAGAAGCCTGGTGCTCCATCCTCTCCACTAGACAGAAACATCCTATTTTAGGGTAGCCAGTAGTTGCTGGGGTGGGGAGGCTGAAGACAACTAGATGCTCCAGGAAGAGAAAGTACAACTCAGTTGTTCACAGGTAAGTCACGTCACCTTCCAGGCCCAGTGTGATTCCTCATCTCTCAAATGGGGGTACTAAAATCTACCTCACAAGGAGTAGTTGTGAAGGTTGAAAATGAGGAGATAGAGCTTGAGGAGCTCTACTGATCTGCATCCAAGGGGGCATGGGCTTTGGGTTCTAACCTCACAACCTCTTGCACTTCGTCTCTGGTCCTCTCTAAGATGAGCTTCCAGTTGAGGGAGTTTTGTTCCTGAGTTTTCTGGAGCCCTTTGCATAGCAGTCCCTTGGACAAGATGCAGTCAGTGTTCAGGGAGAATGTGTCCAGCACAATCCTGATTCCCTACTCTGCCCAAATTGTTCATTTTCCAGTTTCCATGAAAGTTCCTATTCCTATGTTGTTTCAAAGACTAGATGGATTTAGAGCCTCAAGAAAATCCCCACTACCCTGGCTGGTGTGGCTGGTGTGGCTGATGTGGCTGATGTGGCTGGTGAGGATTGAGTGTGGGCTGTGAACCAAAAGGTTGCTAGTTTGATTCCCAGTTGAGGCACGTGCCTGGGTTGTGGGCCAGGTCCCCAGCTGGGGGCATGTAAGATACTTCTCACATATCAGTTTCTCTCCCTCTTTTTCTCCCTTCTTTCCCCTCTAAAAATAAATGTTTAAAAATCTTTTTAAAAATGTTTTTAAAAAAGAAAGTCTCCACCAAGGTTAATCCATTGCAGATACCCCTCAGCTTCAACTCGCCTTATTGGGGCAGCATGTAGCCTGGGAAATTCTGAGCCTGAGGGCCACTTACAGTTTTTCAGAGATCGGCCTACCCCCAGCCTCACAACACCCCTTCTCTCAGATGGATTCCCCTCCTCTGAAATTCTCATCTGAAAGTTGACACTGCAGTGTTCCTCTTGATCAGTGCCCCCCAAGTATTGTTAATTGTAATAACAATATTCTCCCTCTGCGTGAATATTCATATTTGTACTTTGTGCAGTGCTTTCAATCCATGACCTCACTGACTTTCGCAGAGACTCCTTGTGAGGTAGATTTTACCTCCATGTGCAAGATGAGTAATCAAAGAGGACCAGGAAGGGGACGTGACTTACCTGTGATCGACTGAGCTGTGCTTTCTCTTCCTGGAGCACCTAGTTGTCTTCAGCCTCCCACCCCAGCAACTACTGGCTATCCTAAAATAGGATGTTTCTGTCTAGTGGGGAGAATAGAGAGAGCACCAGGCTTCTCTGTCTCCCGGTATCTTCATTCTTTGTATCACACTGGCCCAGAAGATTTGCAGCCTCACCCCAAACCCCTGTAGTAAAACTAGCCCTGGAGGAGCCCAGGGAACCTCCAGGAGCTCTTGTAAAAGTTTCCACTCTTCCCTGATTGGCAGGGAAACAGAAAAGACTCTCCCGGTCTACCCAGTCTCGCTCTGGTTCTCATTTTAGTCCCTGTAGACAGGGACTTAGTGACAGGAGTGGGAATGAGTCACCTGCAGAAGCTCTCAACTGTGTGTGGCCCTTGTCTTCTCTCTCATGTCATAGGCTCTGGAATGACTCATCTGAGATTCCTCCAGAACTGAGCCCTTTGCTGGACCCATGTCCCAGTCTGTGTCCTCATGACTAGGTGGATAGCACTCCTCGTGCCTGCGACCCAGAACCCTGGCTGACCGCACTGAAGCAGGATGCTCCAGCAGGTAAAACCTCACCCTTTGATAACCCCGACCCTAAAGCACCTCCCCTTTCTGAATGAAGTTTCAGTGCCCTGACCAGCAGGTAGGAAAAGACCCCTTAAAGGTCTTTCTTCTTTTCTCTCTTCAAATAGTTATTCCAGTGCCTTTCACCCGGTGTTAAGAGGTTCTTCCTGATACCTGATTTGAATTCCTCCTGTTGTAGTTTTTAGCTCTTTTCCATGGGGTGGCTAAGGGAATTCTGAGGGCGCTTTGATGACCTTATGAGTGAACTGGTAAGGAAGTCCAGAGAGACTCGGCGCAGGCGTCGACTGATGAGGCACAGTGGAAGCCTGGGGCGTCCCAGAGGAGGTGAAGCTGAGAGATGTCCTTGAAGCTGAGCCTTAAAGAATAAGTAGGAATTAGGCAAGTGGGGAAGGAAAATAAGCAGCCTGGACAAAGGTCAGTCTGCAAAAATGTGGGAGAAGATGATAAATGTGGAAATACAGAAGGATTCTGATGAATACATCACAGGGTGCATGAGGGGTAGCTGTTTGGACACAAACCGGCTGGATTCCACCTCACCCTTCACTGTGCAGCCTCAGCTCACACTCAGAGCATCCTTCACGTGCAGCTCTTGGTCCAGAGGGAACACCTGTAGATAATTGCTGAACTTTTATTTACTAAGTGGTGCCAGGCAGTGGACTGAGGAAGATGTTTAAGATGATATCTGCCCTCAAGAAGCTCATGGTCTAATGGAGTCCTAGGCAGGGAAGTGCCTGAGACTCAGCACAATGACTGCATGTGAGGCGGGCCAGCCCTAAGGGAGCCATGGTGGACATTGCCTCTTGACCTTCTCCCAGCCTTTTGGCTCGTGAAATAGGCTTGAAGGCTGGAGAGAAGCAGGCAGGACGGTCGTCTTCCATGAACTAAGGTTTATAAAGTTTGTTATAATCCTAGTAGTAGCTACTCTGCATTGAGCCCGAGCTGTGTAGTAGGCACAATGATAAGGAATTTACACCTACAATTTTGTTTAGTCCTCAAGAAAGATACAGTATGCACAGTGCTATCATGTCCTTATTTTGGGTATAAGACTAGAGATATTAAGTGACTTATTCAAGGTCACATTCATTATAAGCAATGTAGAACATATAGATAAGCAAAGAGAACATTAAAATTGCCTATAGTTATACTATCCAGAGATAACCAACATTTTAGAGAATATCCTAGATTTTTTCACCTAAATATATTTTTTAAAAACATTTAAAGGTATCATATTTTTTGTGACCTTTACTACATTGTAAGGATGTACTATAAACTGCTATTTGGAAATTTGGGTTGTTTTCAATTTTTACAGTAGTGAATGGCTCATACATATACTGAACATTCTTATGGCCCTTTATATAGGGTCACTTTCTACAAACAATTGCAGGCTCAAGGCACATATGTAGTTTTAAGGCCCTTGATATATTATTGCCCAATTAGAAGAAGTGCTTTTGAAAGAATAATAGTAGCTAATTGGGGGTGGGGCATATACCTGGTACCTTTTTAAAATACTTTATGTGCTTATTAGTATTTATAATAAGATACTAATTATAGTGGGTGGTACCACCACTCCCATTTTACAGATGAGAATTGAGACACAAAGAGATAAAGAAATTTACATAAGATTTTGCAACAAGTAAATGGCGGAATCAGCATTCAAACCCAGAGATCACAGCTGTTCAGAAACTGTGGCTGGGTTTATGAGTGAGTTTTACCACCTAAAGCAGGGGGATTTACATGGACCTAGCCATGCTTGGACCTCAGCACTTATTCTGGAGGCCAGCACTCTGCCTTGTGCATCAGGGTGGGCGCAAGTCCAGAGCAGAGGCAACATCTCTGGAAAGAAACTTGTTACTGGGTCTCCAATGACACCTGCCACCTGGGCTTCAGGAGTTTGAACTTGTAGGGTTCACTAGTCTCATTGGAAACCCACATGTCTTACATAGACCCCTTCCTCCAAAAGCAGGTTTCAGCCAAGTTTCTGTGTTCACCAACTCCCCACCTGACCTTCCCCACAGCCCCAGGGAGACAAGAAATG